TGTAATTGCAGTATAGTCTATTTCTTCAAATATTTTGTCTTTTTTTGGGATTATTCTTAAGGACGCTGCCGGCCAGGAAAAAATTCTCCACATCCGCCTTTCATCACCGTCGGTCCGGTGCTTGTAACTACCCCTGCGTCACTGACTTAATACTTCAACGGTGATGAGGGCCGCTTGTGGAGAATTTCTTTTCAAGGGTGTGATGCTCATACGAGCTATGTATGTTCAGGCATGAGATCGTGGGGATCGTAACGGAAGTGGGTGGTAACGTTGGCAAGTTCAAGATCGGCGACCATGTGGGTGTCGGAACTTATGTCGACTCATGCAGAGATTGCGAGAACTGTCATGGTGGACTTGAAATACATTGTTCGAAAGGTTTTGTTTCTACATTCGGTGGCACTTATGAAGATGGCAGCACTAGCAAGGGAGGATACTCCCAGTTCATAGTTGTTCACGAGAGGTGTGTAATTACCAACCTCCGTTTAAAGATCCACCCGATTATTGTCAGACACATCACTAAATATACATAAGATTACCCAAATCTCATTCAACGACAATTCCATGACGACTTATGGTGCCCGATTTACCAATTTGCTAGTATCCTCAATCTTCTGTCTTCATATCTTCACTACCAATGCCAAATCCATTCACATTGTGTAATTTTGCACTTCATAACAAAATGTTAAATCTATAGGTATTGCTACAAGATACCTGAGAAGTATCCATTAGCTCAAGCAGCACCCTTGTTGTGTGCTGGCATTACAGTCTACACCCCGATGATCCGCCACCAGATGAATCAGCCTGGAAAATCATTAGGAGTGATTGGACTTGGTGGGCTCGGTCACATGGCTGTGAAGTTCGCCAAGGCTTTTGGATTGAATGTCACTGTTTTCAGCACGAACATTTCCAAGAAAGATGATGCCTTGAATCTGCTGAAAGCAGACAAGTTCGTGCTCTCATCCGACACAGAACAAATGAGCGTAAGAGTCCATTGATAAGAACCCACTTGAAATCTTGAGGTTTCTCAAATGGCGGGTGAATTAAATAGATCTGATTCTGCGGTTTCTTCTACAGGCTCTGTCGAAATCTCTAGACTTCATAATCGACACAGCATCAGGAGAGCACCCAGTGGATCTGTACATGTCATTGCTCAAGACAGGAGGAGTTTTGGCTTTGTTGGGCTTTCCGGGCGAGGAATTGAAACTGAGTCCACTGAGTCTTCTCATGGGTAAATATTCTCTCGAAAGATCTTAGAATTCATTTCCTCTTCTGGTAGATTAGGACCAATGACTTTCTTTGCGTTCTCAAATTACATGTATCTTGTTCAGGAATGAGGAGTATCTCCGGAAGTGCAGTCGGCGGTACAAAGCGAACACAGGAGATGCTCGAGTTTTGCGCTGAACATGAGATATATCCAGAGATTGAAGTAATTCCTATTCAGTATGCGAATGAAGCTCTTGAGAGGCTTCAAAAGAATGACGTGAAGTACCGCTTTGTGATAGACATTGAGAGCTCCTTAGAGTGAATCCACTGACGAAGGAATTCCAGGAAGACATTTTCGTGTTTATTCTATAAGAACTTCAACTTATTGTTAGTGTCAACGACTCTCTTTATGGAATACAATAAATTAACGCTACAATAAGTGGAAAGTACGTTCTTCCTCCTTTTGAAGTGATCTCTCTCTCTCTGTTTGTGAATTTGGGAATTGCAACCTCCTGTGTTCTGTGAAATAATGCCGAAAGCTAACGGATTTTGTAATTAAAATAAGTTCGCGCTTTTTTCAGTCCCAGTGTGACTAAAACAGTCTCTATTACAATGTTATGAAAATATCAACCTTTATGGGTCCCGCCTTTATTAAGCTATTTTTCTTTTCTCCTTTTTTGGGCATGTGCCACTTTCCTTTTTCTCATTTATTTTTCTTGCTTCTCTCTCTTTCTAAAACACCTCTCTCATGCCAACAATTGACAAGTTTTTGACACCCCAACATCCATCACAGGCACAAAAAAAAGGTCTATCGCCGACACAAGCAACTAACGGAGTTGAAGCCCATATTTGTAGAAACCTCCTTCTCACCCAACTAATCCTCTTCCACCTACATTTCTTCAACTCAAAGCTTATAACTGTAAGTAAAAAAATCATGTTATATATCTCATTACTCTTCACCCCTATTCCATCCCTCTTGCTATATGTATTATTTGTTTTCCATTTCGCATTAAACTCTTCGATTGATCGATCACGAAGACAAGAAAAAACCCCATTAAAGATTCAAATCCAGGATCTGAAGCCCTCACCCAAATCCACATCAAGATCATCGGCAATGTCTGCTTCTCCGCGTTCATCCTGATCGTCATTGTCATCACCAATTGGCCATCGCCTACCAGCCTTCAGATCCATGGCTCAAATCTGCCCTCACACTCATCAACTTTTGAATCTTTTACTAGAGATTGATACCCAGTAACACAATAGACCTAAAGGCTCTCGCATTTAACTTCTTAACGGCGATAAGAACATGGGGATCAGAACAATTGACGGGCTTGAACTTTGAGGACCGCCTTATCGCATAAGGACTTAGACTTGAGGATTACGTTCGCAATCACCTCTTTAGCCCTCTCAATCACCGGCGATGACCGCTCGATGACCGACATCAGCGTGGAAGGAGAAATTGCTAGGGTGAGGTGGGGGCAAATCCTCGTCGGTTTTAAGGATGGGATTTTCGTTCTTGAAGTTGGCATTTTCGGTTTGCGTAAACAACTTAGTGAGAGCAAGGGTGGATTTGAGCCATGGATCTTGAGGTTGGAAGGTGATGGGCAATTGACGATGTTAAATATGTTTTGAATTTATGTCTCGGTCGGTTCAGACATATTTTTCGGAAATTGATTTTGATAGACCGATAGGCCCAACTTGTAGCAAGTTGTTGACTATTTATAGAGGTTTTCATTGTTATACGTGGAATTTTGTTTTGGAGAGTTTTGAGGTGAGCTTTTGTCGTTGTTTCGACTTCAAAACTCCTCTTTAATATTTGAATCTTTAATGGGGGTTTTTCTTGTCTTCTTGATCGATCAATCGAAGAGTTTGATGCGAAATGAAAAACGAATAACATAGAGAGCAAGAGGGATGGAATGGGGGTGAAGAGTAAAGAAATATAACATAATTTTTTTACTTACAGTTATAAGATTTGAGTTGAAGAAATGTAGGTGGAAGAGGACTAGTTAGTTGAGAAGGAAGTTTTTGCAAATTTGGGCTTCAACTCCGTGAGTTGCTTGTGTAGGTGACAGACGTTTTCTTTTTTGTGCCAGTGACGAATGTTGGGGTGTCAAAAACTTGTCTATTATTGGCATGAGAGGGGTGTTTTAGAAAGAGAGAACAAAGAGAAATAAATGAGAAGAAGAAAAGTGGCATAGCAAAAAAAGAGAGACGAAAAGCAGCTTCAAAAAAGTAGGACCCATAAAGGTTGATATTGTTAAAACATTGTGATAATGAGTTTTTTAGTCATAGTGGGAGTGGAAAAAGGGCGAACCCAAAATAAAAGCAAAGGTTTTGTATTTTTTTGAGTTTCCTTTTCTTGTAGCCGAACAATGCGTAAATCCCTTTTCCATAGAGCCGCACAGTAAAGTGAAGAAGCCGTAGCCGCATGAAGGGAAAGAAAAAACGCATGGACGTTCTTGCACTAGTATATGTTGTGCGACCAAACATTTCTAGTGACTAAAAATGACCCCATTAAGTATCTACTTGATCAGCCGGCTTTGGTAGGAAAGTTGGCAAAATGGCAAATCCCAATTTTAGAGTGTGATATACAGACTACACCACAAAAGTCAATCAAAAGCCGTGCCATTGCAAACATGTTGGCTGAAGCTCCTATAGAGGCGTTTGACAATGATAATTCCCCAAATGATCGCATTTTATCTGTGGAGGAAGATACATGGACCATGTTCTTTGATGGTGCTGTAAATTTATCTGATTCTGGCATTGGGCAGTCGTATGATAGTTTTTACGGATGAATCTTCTATTCCTTGATAGCAAATCAAAGAAACTTTAGTATTAACATTTGTAAAACAATATTTGTAAAACGGTGCCTCTTGTCAAAATGATCAATCAATTCACTTTAGGATGATATTGAAAAACATTTAGGACTTGATTATGCGAATTAAAAGATTTAGAATTCAATTGCATTCCATCCATGACATTAGCAATTTCCAGCATACCTTTTCCTTATTTTCTTTGCACAAATCATTGTCATTTATTTTCAATGAGCCTTTGCGCTGATTAAAAAGGTGTCTTGTGGAATTTAAGGGTTGTTGTAAAATGTCCAAAAGAAGATGAAATATGACATTACACACATGGCGTTAGAGCGCGTTTGTTTCACGAAAAATAAATGATTTGAAAAATATTTTTATAAATATAATTGCTTATATCGCTTACAAAAATGAACGAACGAAAATATTTTCATTGTCCACGAAAATGTTTAGACATAAATTGTTATCGATATTGAAAATATTTTTCATTGATCAATTATTTCAAGCGATATAAGTGATTATTTTCTGAAAAATATTTTTTCAAATCATTTATTTTCTATGAAATAAACGAAGCCTTAAATAGTAACTATTAGTTCTTTCTATGTAACGTTTAGAAGTGTTATGAGATTATCATTTTATATTTTGGATTAGTCAAACCTAAGCTTATACGCAGATGGTTGTGTGGACTTTTCTTGTCGTGTCTACTTCGTGTATGTTTCTCTCTTGAAGGATAAGACGTATGGGGTGACGCTGGAAAAATAAAGAATACAACCATCTGCGTATAAGCTTAGGTTTGACTAATCCAAAATATAAAATGATAATCTCATAACACTTCTAACGTTATGAGAACTAATAGTTACTATTTAAGGCTTCGTTTATTTCATAGAACTTGTATGCGATGACGTTTATGAGCACAGTCCAAGAACCCGGGATGTATATATTACACGGAACACAACAGATGGTCACACATCTGTGCTATTAACTCTTCAAAGGGAAAGAGCACAGAAAATGAGTTCCGGCACAGCGACGGGAAAGAACTGCCACGGATGGGCGGCAAGAGACGACTCCGGATTTCTCTCTCCTTACGAGTTCGATCGCAGGTAAACTAGCCAATTGCGTATTGGAGTCGCTGATCTCACTGCATAAATTCGTGGCCTTGACTCATAAGTTGTTTTGGCTGTATAACGAATAGAGTTTATCGTATTATTCTCGTGACAGAGCAGTTGGAAGCGAGGACGTCTCGTTGAAAATTACTCATTGTGGCATTTGCTATGCGGATGTGTTGTTCACTCGCAACAAATTAGAGCACTCCGGATATCCCTTGGTCCCAGGGTATGTACCTTTGCTGCTAATGTAATTGCTGTATGGTCTATTTCTTCAAATATTTTGTCTTTCTTTGGGATTATTCTGAAGGACACTGCCGGCCAAGAAAAAATTCTCCACATGCGCCGTTCATCACCGTCGATCCAGTGCTTGTAACTACCACTGCGTCACTGACTTAATACTTTCAACGATGATGAGGGTCGCTTGTGGAGAATTTCTTTTCAAGGGTGTGATGCTCATACGAGCTATGCATGTTCAGGCATGAGATCGTGGGGATCGTGACGGAAGTGGGTGGTAACGTTGGGAAGTTCAAGATCGGAGACCATGTGGGCGTCGGACCTTATGTCGACTCGTGCAGAGATTGCGAGAACTGTCATGGTGGACTAGAAATGCATTGTTCGAAAGGCGTTGTATCTACATTCGGTGGCACTTGTGAAGATGGCAGCACTAGCAAGGGAGGATACTCCCAGTTCATAGTTGTTCACGAGAGGTGTGTAATTACCAACCTCTGTTTAAAGATCCACCCGATTATTGTCAGACACATCACTAAATATACATAAGATTACCCTAATCTCATTCGACGACAATTCCATGACTACTTATGGTGCCGATTTACCAATTTACTAGTATCCTCAATCTTCTGTCTTCATATCTTCACTACCAATGCAAAATCCATTCACATTGTGTACTTTTTGCACTTCGTAACAAAATGTTGAATTATAGGTTTTGCTACAAGATACCTGACAAGTATCCATTAGCTCAAGCAGCACCCTTGTTGTGTGCCGGCATTACAGTCTACACTCCAATGATCCGCCACCAGATGAATCAGCCTGGAAAATCATTAGGAGTGATTGGACTTGGTGGGCTCGGTCACATGGCTGTGAAGTTCGCCAAGGCTTTTGGATTGAATGTCACTGTTTTCAGCACAAACATTTCCAAGAAAGATGATGCCTTGAATCTGTTGAAAGCAGACAAGTTCGTGCTCTCATCCGACACAGAACAAATGAGCGTAAGAGTCCAGTGATAAGAACCCACTTGAAATCTTGAGGTTTCTCAATTGGCGGGTGACGTAAATAGATCTGATTCTGCGGTTTCTTCTACAGGCTCTGTCGAAATCTCTAGACTTCATAATCGACACTGCATCAGGAGAGCACCCGTTGGATCTGTACATGTCATTGCTCAAGACAGGAGGAGTTTTGGCTTTGTTGGGCTTTCCGGGCGAGGAATTGAAACTGAGTCCACTGAGTCTTCTCATGGGTAAATATTCTCTCGACAGATCTTAGAATTCATTTCCTCTTCTGGCAGATTAGGACCAATGACTTTCTTTGCGTTCTCAAATTACATGTATCTTGTTCAGGAATGAGGAGTATCTCCGGAAGCAGAGTCGGTGGTACGAAGCGAACACAGGAGATGCTCGAGTTTTGCGCCGAACATGAAATACATCCAGAGATTGAAGTAGTTCCTATTCAGTACGCAAATGAAGCTCTTGAGAGGCTTCAAAAGAATGACGTGAAGTACCGCTTTGTGATAGACATTGAGAACTCCTTAGAGTGAATCCACTGATTTAGGAACTCCATCTATGAGAACTCTATCTTTATGCAAGTGCCAACGACTCTTTATGGAATACAATTATTTAACGCAACAATAAGTGGAAAGTATGTTCTTCCTCCTTTTGAAGTGATCCCTCCCTCTCTCTGTTTGTGAATTTGGGAATTGCAACCTGTGTTATAAAAATAACGCAGAAAGCTAAGGGACTTTGCAATTTATATCTAACCCGAGAAGTAGAAATTAACAGAAAAATCAATGAGGAGTAGTAAAGAACACTAGAGATCTACATCGTTCAGTTTGAGAGTCGGTACCTATTTCACAGGGAGAGTCAACCGCAAGAAAATCCAAAATGAATATCGAGAATTACATAGTTTATATCCATCAGTCAAGTGTTTCCTAACCTTAAATTGCACCCAAAAACAGATCCAGTAATTTCACAATCTCTCACAATAAACTCATCAACAAAACTTACAGAGAGAAAACCTACCACTATTCTTGTTTGCTATAATATGTGATAATCGAGCAGAGTTCCTATCTTATATGTTCTTATGTGACATGCCGGTTCAAACTAGGAACCAAGATTTTCTTCCCTTTTTTTTTTCCTGAATCCAAGATCCGACCTCATTAGATTTTGGACTCCACTGAATTTATCTGGAGTTATGTCCAAGTCAGAAGACATCCAAAATACGGGCAAGACTTCTACCTGGTCAAATTATAAATATGAGCTCAAACTGGAGACATAATTTGACAGACAATGCAGTCGCTTCTCTCTCTAAGTTTCAAGAGTCTTGGATGAAAGACCAACACTTCAAGTTATGTTGCAGTCCTTTAGCTATCATCACAAGGGAGTCGGTGTAATTGACAATAGCAGAACTCCAGCAATTGATCATGCAAAAATGGAAGTCCAATTGATACCGAAGCGCGATAGAAATTAGGTTAAACAGAAGAATCGAAAGATAACGATGAACAAACTGTTCTCTCAATTGATTGACAATCAAAATATCCAAAGTCTGATAAAACGAAACCCTAAAACAAGTTTATATATCCTCAAACCTAACCCTACTAAATTGTTCTCTCAATTGATTAACAATCAAAATATCCAAAGTCTGATAAAACAAAACCCTAAAACAAGTTTATATATCCTCAAACCTAACCCTACTAGGATTAGTAAACATCAAAACGTAAAATTACGAAACTGCCCTTTACTAAATTAACCCATAAAAAATACTAAAAAAATAGAAAAACCCATCTAAACGACCCCGAATCACGAAAATCCATCGTTAATCGTGTATTGATCAGCACGCCGTTTCGCTTCAGCCGACCAAATTTGAGCTCAATCCGACATCGTTGACTTCAAGCCCGCCAGTTCGTCCAGTCGCATAACGGGTCCGCCGGTCGCCTAAGTGCATCATCCTCCCCTGCTAGAGAAAGATTCGTCCTCGAATCTGCTTCGTCTTCATTGTCATCAATCTCTTCAGGGTCTTCTTCCTCTTCAGTGTAGTAAGGTGACAAATCTGCTACATTAAAAGTTCCAGAAACATTGTGCTCACCCGGCAACCCAGGTGGCAACTCTTCCGGTACGACATCAGCAAACTCCTCAAGCAAGGGCAGAACTTGGGTAGGAATTTCGGGACTGTCAGAATTCCGCTCCATCACCACAATGGCAAAAAGCTCAGGCGCGTTCACTGGCACTTCTTGAAATTTTGATTTGGAAAGCAGATTACTTTTCCCTTCTTTTCTCAAATCTGAAGGACCTAGGGTAATGGTTCGGCCATCCTTCTTGAAGGTATAAGTATTTCTGAAACTATCATGCTGTGTCTTTCTGTCAAACTGCCACGGCCTCCCCAATAAAATATGGCAAGCATCCATTGGGACTACATCACACCACACCTCATCGATGCAATTTTTTCCAATCGAAAATTGCACAAGACACCTTTTGCTCACCTTCACCTCGTTCCCTTTTTCTAAGCCACGACAGCTTGTATGGTTGATGATGATCTTCTGTTTTCAACCCCAACTTTTCCACCTTAGTCGTGGACACCACATTCTCGCAACTCCCACCATCTATTATCATGCTGCATACTTTTCCTCTACTAGTACACTTAGTATGAAAAATATTATGTCTAAGCCACGATTCATCATAAACTGGGCCTTCATAAAAAACTGGATTATCAACAAGCATCACAATCTGTCAGTTCGGACAATCAGCAGCAAAATGCCCGAATCCTTGACACTTGAAACACCGCTTGGCTGCAGTTCCTCCCCTGCTAGTTCCAGCACTACTCTGCCCCTCGTTGGATGCAGGTTTAGAACTCACATCCTTAACTGTGACCGGTGTCGATACTGCGGATGTTCTGCTTTTCCTTGGGATTCTTTATCGACCACTTGGAGCTTTTGCTGACCACTTAGAATTCTTGCTCTTTCTTTTAAAGCTGCCCCTCCACCTTTAGGGCTAGTCGCACACATCCTCATATGTCCAATACTGCTGTAATTGGACAACATCAGAGATCTCATATCGCAGCCCTGCTAGATATCATGCAATCGTCTGCTCGTCTTCCTCTGTCACATCACAACGCATCTGCAAGCGATCAAATTCTTTTGTAAATTCCTCAACTGTTTTATCACCTTGCTTGACGTTATGATACTCGATAAACGCCTCTTGCCTATAATGGGTAGGCAAAAAAAATTTCTGCAATAACTTTTTCATCTTCTCTCAACGGTTTACTTTTGATTTCCCCTCTCTAGCACCCTGCCTTTTCACATGCTCTCACCATATCGAGGCATGTTTTCGTAGCCTAATAGCCACTAATTTAACTTTCTGCTCTTCAGTCAGATCCTTAATATCAAAGATCCTCTCTACTATATGTAACCAATCAATAAACTCATTAAGATGAGCCTTACCATTAAATTTGGGAATCTCGATCTTCATCCCGAAATTTTGAGAAGAGCGTTGATTTCCAGGTCGTACTCCTCGATTCCGCCCCTAGTTCATAACCCCGAAAGGATTTACGTCCTCCTCTTCATCATCGGATGGATCCTCAGATTCTGCTTCTTCTTCGGATTGAACACCCAACCTCACCTCCGCAAGTTATCGCTCCAAATCCTGGATTCGTCTTCTCTGTTCTTCAATTTCTACGTCTCGCAGATCTCTTAGACGCGGTTGATCGTCTGCTTCAGGAACGCCTCCACGCCCCCGGCCACCACGAGCCCGCCGTCCACGACCGCGATTCTGTTCAGCCATTGATTCAAGCAACCTGTGCTTTGATACCAATTGATGCCGAAGCGCGATAGAAATTAGGCTAAATAGAAGAATCGAAAGATAACGAGGAACAAACCGTTCTCTCAATTGATTAACAATCAAAATATCCAAAGTCTGATAAAACGAAACCCTAAAACAAGTTTATATATCCTCAAACCTAACCCTACTAGGATTAGTAAACATCAAAACGTAAAATTACGAAACTGCCCTTTACTAAATTAACCCATAAAAAATACTAAAAAAATAGAAAAACCCATCTAAACGATCCCGAATCGCGAAAATCCATCGTTAGTCGTAGCTAAAAGCTACGAGTATTGATCAGCATGCCGTTTCGCTTCAGCCAACCAAATTTGAGCTCAATCCGACATCGTTGACTTCAAGCCCGCCGGTTCGTCCAGTCGCATAACGGGTCCGCCGGTCCCCTAAGTGCATCACCACCTCATAGCAATCTATCTGAACGCTGCCATGCTAAAACTTCTGGAGTTGGCCTATCGGGCCGGTTCGAGTCTCCACTGATACTCGATTCGATATGGACATGAAGGGTAAGCGTTTTGTGCGACCCTATTCGGGACACCGACCCACATAGAACCTGAGCCCGAAACAAAGTAAAAAAGTTTCAGGTCCGCTTGCTTTATCCATTTTTTCTGCTAAATGAGGTATTTATTATAATGGAAATCTGTACCTTGGCGGGAAATGAACTCAACTGGACCAAGACTGATCGAATGTGAAATTCAAACTGATTATTCCACAACTGTAAAAACTAAATCCTTTACGGCACTCTCTAGCATCGAGTCCAAACAAAGTCCGAGTACTCGCACAAATCCTAAATCCTAGTTTCAACTATGTCAATCATAAAAGCAAGGACCATCGGATAGCAAAATTAAGAGCTCAGATGTAAAGTAAACCTTCGCTCTGGTGTTTTTTCAATGATTTCCTTCTCTAGAGTATGATCGATTATGTCGGCGAAGAAGCAATCCTCATTCGATCTCGACCGCGAGATGTTGGATTAGGTGTAAGTCGCGTTGACGTCGTCAAATGACAAGGACTCTCCGTCAACGACGACAGCATTAGATGGAAGTCTCATCGGAGAGAGAGAGAGAGAGAGAGAGAGAGAGAGAGAGAGAGAGAGAGAGAGAGAGAGAGAGAGAGAGAGAGAGAGAGAGAGAGGACAGGGTCTTTTGACTTAAGAGAGAAGTAAACCAGAAAGTTTCAATAGAAGTTAGGGAGCATTTGTTCGAGAGAAAGTGTTTTCAGGGAATACATTTTCCGGACTTTCCCCCGTTTGGTTCGCCAAAAATAGTAAGGGCCCGTTTGGTAACGTGCCAAACAGTGAAAATTTCTGTTCTTTTGTTCCCAGAAATAGTTTGGGAACAGAAATGCGTTTGGTAAACTTTTTGTTCCCGGGCACATTTTTGCAAAAATTTGTGCCGAGAAACAGTTTTAGAAGAGAAACAAGAAGTAAAAAAAAGTTGCTTTTTTTTTCTCGGCACAATTTTGAGAATCATTTTTTTTTCTTCTTTTTCTTTTTTTCTTTTCTTATTTTTGTGTTGTTCTTCCTGGGCTGGGCTGGCCGCCGGCGACCGGCCACAGCCCAGGGCCGGCGAGGCGCCCTCGCCTAGAGACGGCGAGGCTCGGCCTCGCCCAGATCGGGCGAGGTCGACCTCGCCCCGGGTCGCAACGGCGAGGCTCGGCCTCGCCCGATGCCGGCGAGGCCGCCGCTCCGCCGCGGCCGGCGAGGGCCGTGACGCCCTCGCCCGGGGG